ACATATAATTTACTATCACCTACGCAATGAAACGGGAACCCTTTAGTAAAAAGAACACGGCTTAGACGGTTTGAGTATGATGGATCCCGATTGGGACTGTGCACCAACACGCCCTTTGCAGAGAGAGATCTAAGAGATCTACCAACTTCCAAGTTCAGTTTTGTTGTCATCCGGCGTTGCCTTCAACCTCCAGCCCCCCCCCCCCCCTGCATAACTTTCTTTTTCTTTTGTTTTTTTCACACAAGTGACAGCACAGGACAAACGATTTATTTTCATGGCGACACAGCGTATGTAATGCAGAGCCTGCATGTTACAAATGTGGCGTTATCAGACTACTATAGGTCCTACCGGCAAATTTCTGGGTGGTAGGTCTAACGAAAGCGAAAGTAGATCTTTATTTTCCCGATCGAGCTCCGGTATCGCACATACTTCCACTTGTTGCCGCCATTACCGCATGTGCGCGTGTAACGTACTCTCAGGCCGGGAAAGGCCGAATAAATATTATATCACAATCGCGACCGGCAAAAATGAACTCAAGGACGTTATCGGATTTGGTTTTCCAATATTCGAGACCTTTTATAATGTATTTCCGCGGGTTTTTTAACACGGGGCAATTTACAGATTTCTTCAAATTCCCGTTGCATTCCGGATCTCGGCGATTTTTTTCAAATTCCTGGGTAATTCCAGGGGGCCCCGGGGGCCTGGCAGTCACCCTGTACACGTGTTCCTGTCCGATCTTGCAAAATTCAAGGAGTTTTCAAGGAGATTTTTCCTTGAATGCAAATTCAAGCAGTTTTCAAGGACTCCTTGAATCCAAGGAGGCCACGGGAACCCTGTTATTAACGAAGCTCCTGACATTAGGAGTTATTGCAAGGAGAATGTTTAAAATATCTGAATACGATTGTGAGGTATCCAGTGGCCGTGGGTGAACCAGAATTGAAATTTGCTCACGTCGGCACCCAAGTTGTTGTTATGTGTCAATAAAAGAAATCAAAGAGAGTGAGGGAGAGAAAGAGAGAGAGAGAGAGAGAGAGAGAGAGAGAGAGAGAGAGAGAGAGAGAGTGTGTGTGTGTGTGTGTGTGAGAGAGTGTGAAAAACAGACAGAAAGGAAGTGAGTGAGAAAGAAAGAAAGAAAGTAAGAAGGAGTAAGAGAGAGAGAGGGAGAAAAAGTGTGAGTATGTGTGTGTATGTTTTTATGTGTGTGTGTGTGTTAGAGAGAGAGAGAGAGAGAGAAAGAAAGAGAAAGAGAGATGGGGGAGGGGTGTTCGTGAGAGAAAGAGAGAGATGAACAAATTTACACAAAGGGAAAGGTTTGGACAAAAATGGATAGGATAATAGTGTGTGTGCGCAGGCGCATTCTGCGGGCAGACGTGAGTACATTTTTAAGCTTTGCGACCTAAAATAAATAGGCCCCTAAGCCTAAGAGAGAGAAAGAGAGAGGGAGAGAGAGAGAGGGAGGGAGAGAGAAAAGAAAGAGAGAGTGTGTGTGTGTGAGTGGGAAAAACAGACAGAAAAGAAG